CCAGCACTTGGCCTTGTTAAACATCATAGCACTAGCCTCAGCCCATTGATCCAGCCTGTCCAAGTCCCTCTGTAGAGCCTCCCTACCCTTGAGCAGATCAACACTCCCACCTAACTTGGTGTCTTCTCAAAATTACCAAAGGTGCATTCTATCCCTTCATCAAGATCTTTGATAAATATGTTAAACAGAAGTGGCCCTAGTAGTGACCCCTGCAGAACAGCACTTGTGACTGGCCACCAGCTGGATTTAACTCCATTGATCACCACTCACTGTGCCCAGCCGTCCAGCCAGTGTTTTACCCAGCAGAGTGTATGCTCATCCAAGCCATGAGCAGCCAGCTTCTTATTAGAATTCTGTGGGAAACAGTGTCGAAGGCTTTACAGAGGTCAAGGTAAAAAATATCCACAGCCTTTCCCTCATCCATCAGGTGGGTCATCTTGTCATAGAAAGAGATCAGGTTTGTTAAGCAGGACCTGCCTTTCACAAACCCATGCTGACTGGGCCTGATCACCTGGTTGTTCTGTAAATGACTCGTGATGGCACTCAAGATGATCTGCTCCATGACCTTCCCTGGCATTGAGGTCAGACTGACAGGTCTGTAGTTTCCCAGATCCTCCTTTTGGCCTTTCTTGTAGATAGGTGTCACATTTGCTATTCTCCAGTCCACTGGGACCTCCCCAGTTAGCCAGGACTTCTGGTAGATGATGGAAAGAGGCTTGGTGAGCCCATCCTCCAACTCTTTTGGTACTCTTGGATGTAGTCCATCCAGCCCCATAGACTTGTGTGCATCTAAGTGGTGTAGTAGGTAACCAGTTTCTGCACAAATGCTGCAGACAACCTAAATAGTGGAATGCCACCAAGCACTCGGTGTTGTGCAAGCCTGAATAAAATATAAGCAATATCTCTCCTGTGTGTGTTGAATTGAGTCATGGCACACTGGGCAAGAATCTGCTTTTTCATAGAATCATAGAATCACAGAGTGGTTTGTGTTGGAAGCGACCTTAAAGATCATCTGGTTCCAACCCCCTTGCCATGACTTGTCTGTTTAAAGGGGGCTTCTGCACATCCATTAATATCAGCTGCCAGTAACAGGAGACTTATTGAGACAGAAAGCTTCTTCAACAGCTAAATCCTGAATTATTCCTGTGAAACAGTGTATTAAGAGGCATAGCTGTTGGTGGCTTACTTGTATTTTCAGCTTTAAGAGTTTTAACTTCTTCTGTTCTCAGCTTCAATGCTTCCTTGAGAGCTGCATTTTCACAATATAACCTGCAGAAGTTAGAAAAATGCTGTTATCTTTTAAAAAAATAAAATGAGCACTCACATGAAAAAAAAATTAGTCTGCTAAAACATTGTATCTAATATTTCTGCAAATTAAAATTAGGATTACTGAAAAGATTGAGGAAAAAAATCAAAACTGGAAAGAGTTGAATATTCAGTTTGACAATATATTATCCATGCAGCATTATACAATGTTTCCTCACTTCTAAACTTTTTAATGGAAAAAATTGTAAAATTTTTACATAACAATATCTGTACCAATAATATGTAGTATGTTGTCAGATCCAAATCTGCTAGCCAGGGGCCAGTAAGCAACCTAAACCTACTCCTAACTAACTCTCTGAAGAAAGTTCTATGTTCTAGGCTTGGTCTGACTGGCAGTGAACCAAGGCTAAGAAAGCAGGCTACAGCTAGCTTCTGTGGAGTGACTGACTCCTCATTATCCAGGCTGCAGGTGACTCTGCAGGCAGCAAAGCCAGGACCTCTGCACTCACGCGGAGGTTTCTCTGCAACCCAGATACCATGCACTGTTCAAACAGGCTCACCTTGTCATGAAACCACACCCTCAGCCAATTTAAACGTGCCCAAGTATGTTCCAGTGAATGTTAAGGAAAGAAAAGCCATTCATATGTAAATAGACAGTGCCAATAACTTCAGCGTTTAACAAGAGGTGAGATTAAGTACCACATTACCATTACAAACTCAAAGAAATTTGTTATTATGAACCTCTGAAAAACTTGCTAGAAATCTTTTACTTCCTTGAAAGAAGAAAATTGTTATTGGACACGTGACAACATGGCTCTGGTCTGAATTTTAGAATGTAAACTTCCTGTAGTCTTAATGCTGTTCTCAAGAACAGCTGTACTTTCAAGCGTTGCAGCATGAGAACATACAATAAGCATCTATAATGCCTTTTTCCTTGAAGTATTTGAGTATTGACTTCTTGGATAGAAAAGTGGCAATCTCAAATTCTAAATGTTAAAGCAATACAATTTATTTGGTGCATCTCTTCAGCTGTCAGTAAGTGCAGCATACCATAAATTCATGGGTTTGTTTAAAACTAAAGAGTACCCTGAATTATTTCACTTGAATAAACAAAGGGAAAAACACATTCTCCTCATCCTGCTGTCTCAGATATCAGAAAACCTTTTTGCAAAAAACTCCCTTTTTTTCTGAAGCCACATCTCTATCTTTCAACAGTTAACACTAGTTCTGTTTCTTGAAACCGCCCAGCTACACTTCCAATCTCCTAAGTCAGGAAAGGCAGAGTTCTTCAAGATGTATCCCTTGACAGGTGTAACTAAGTTAACTGGTAAAAAAGACACAGTATCTTAACAAAACTCTTCTTAGAAATGTACAGTTTGTAAACATTTGGCTTATCCTTTGATTCAAAGTTTGAAAACTTTAAATAAAAATCTCCACTGGAAAAAAAAAAAAAAACAACAACAAAACCAAACAACTCTGATGAGTCGACTTCAGAGATATCATTTCTACATTTGAATAAGCGAGCCTGCTGGTCTAATTTTTCAAGGTCTGTTATTGCACTATTAGTTTACTGCCTCTGGCACTGTCCGCTTGCCTAACCACACCCGCTGTCCGTCCAGAGTAAGTCTTATTTAAACAAAGAACCAGTTGATCAGCCTTTCTCAAAAGCATTCCGTTTTACGTGTACATATGCTTATATCTACAATGCAAGAAAATAAGGCAATGATTAACCAGCAAATGATATTTCCATATGCATAAACATACCATTATTTTCTAAGCCTCATTTACATTTAAAGTAAATCAAGGCAGTCTGACTTCAGCTGGCTAACATAATAACATAATTGGATGAAAATGAAAACTCAGCCTAGCAAAGCTAGCCTATGTACACTCTAAAGAACGGAGACTTAATAATTTTAGTAGTTTTAGTCGAAAAATACAAATGTAGCTATCATGAAAATTAAATAAATCTTCACAAACCTGGAAAAAAATAAGAAAACACAAAAATCCCAGAGAACCTGATGAAGCAAACTTGTAACACAAGAAAGATGACATATAGCATTCAACACAATTAAAAAAAACCCCAAAGACACAGAGTGTAAGACAAATACCTGTCATACTTTTCTGTCCATGTGTCTTCTATGTTTTTAAATCTATCCTGATCAAATTCAATTTCCCATTGCAAGATATTTATTTCCTGTGGAAATGAAACAAACCTGCAGCAGTTCATTACAAGTCTCCCATTCGAAGAAACAAGAGTTGCTGCTGGTGCTGAATTTGGCACTGGCAGAGATCAAGGTGATCAACAATGATGACATCTATGATACTGTTAAAAATACACTTAGTGCCAGACACTAAAAAGTTTCTGCATCACTAGTCTATGGATTCGAGGCCATGCTGCATGAACTAATGCTTGCAGTGGCTTACAATAAAAACAAACCCATGCTGTCACACTTCCCTGTCACCTTACTGTTCTGTGCAAAGGTCACATAGAAAAAGAAACAAAGCATAAAACTCAGTTTAAAAATGTAGCTCAATGCCACCTTCTTCCTCTTCCCCATCTTCCTTATTGGGCACCCATTTCTTAGACTCACTGAAAAGTTCCAGCTTAGTAACTAAGAAATAGTGCAACTCACTATGAATGACTGCAAAACTCGTAACAAAGACCAACTGAAAGTACAGAAAGAACTCTAGTTAACTTTCAGGTATTATTTCTACACACTACAACTGAAAACATCTAGATCAAAAGAGTGATACATTAACATTTTCCCCTTCTACTAAAGAGGAATAAGAATACTTTCAAAAACACCCTGGAACTAATGCCAGTTTTGTACTGATTTAAACAGAGTCTGATAACCCCTTATTAATAGCAATGGACTTCTACATTGTTGCACAGGTGTGAAGGAAACATGCAGCCTTACCTTTTCTAAAGTTCTCTTTTCTTCCTCAGTTTTTTGAAGCATTGCTTTTGTGTGACTAGTGGCTTTATTAAATACTGCCTGCAAGAAAACCCACAACTCTGTCAAATACTGTAACTATGTTTACTCAATTTGGCTTTAGCCAAATTTGCAGTTTTACATCACGAGAAGTTCACATTCTTAGTTAAGCAGGACTGTGCAGAATTACAAACACTAGCAACTTGTTTGTAAGTCCCCGTGGGTTTTAATTTCAAGTCACTAAATAGCTATGTTGTGTAACAAACGTGTTTCAGTCCCATAATCTTTTCTATTGAAAAATGTAGCATCATTCAAAATAAGATCATGTCTTCTTTAGGGCTTGTCCACAAAATCAGCTCTTAAAAAACTTGGTTACAACGTACTTACACTTTGATCCAGCTGTAACCTACTAGGAATGTCTGAGGGTAGAAACTGCAGAACTGTAAATGGGTTATGCAAGCAGGCTAAAAAAAATATTACCAAATGCGAACAAAAGACCTAACATTTAATGCATGCTGTCCTCTAAGACAACAGATGGAGCAGTCAACTGAAAATAGCTGTACTTTGCAGCAGCATTTCAAGCACTGGCAAAATCTGAAATTTAAAGGACTGGAAAGAAGGCCTTATTCTGTAAATTAAATAGATAAATCCTCAAAGATAAAATTATCGATATTTGCTACAACAGTAAAGTCTTCTTAAATAACCACAATAGTTCCATGCAGAAAAAGTATTAACTCATAGAAGCCAAGCCTGTAGAAACTTGCAGGGCCAATGTTTTAAATTATAGCCCTGGGATGAACTCAAGGTTTGCGGGGTTTTGATGAGGAGTGGCAGGAAGATTTCTTCTGTTTTCCTTCCGTTACCATTAAGTACCTAAATGATTTCTGAACAACTCCTACCATGCTCTGCAGAATTCTTAGAGCTTCATCTTTTCCTTCAAGTTGTCTTTGAGATGCTTCAAGCTCAACTTTCAAAATTTCAACTTCCTGAAGCAAGATAAAATAGGTACACTTGAGTAAAAGCCAACGTAATCTTGTTAAAACTCAACTGTAACAGCAATGTAAATTCACCCTCTTCAAAAAACCTTCTCCTATTTCTACTCTATATAATTCTTTTCTGACTAATAGCTTGCTTGCGATGAAGAAATGTAAACAGTGCATGCTAGCATAAAATCCTTAGAGAAGGAATACTTGTAATTATTATTCTTTCTGTTCTCTTCCATTTATTTGGAAAATAAACCATTGCAGTTCTGCCTTGCTAAAAGAACTTTTATCTATCAACATAGGTCTGGAGCTTTAAAATAAGTAAGCAGAACAGAACACAGTTTTCTTATCATGCAGTAAAATATTACAAATACATACTAAAATATAAATACCACATTAATATGGCATACTATAAATTTATTATACAAAATAGCCATACTCTATAGCATGAATATCATGTTAGGACTGTTAGATCAAAACCACTGCTTGTCCAGAACAAAACAAAACAGATTCCTGCTCCAGGTACATGCCAATCACATCTTTATGCAACAGCTCCCCCCTTCAAAAGAAAGCAGTTTTTCCATTTCCAAGAATTAAAAGAAAATGTACTGCTTTATATACTTATCTTTCCTTAACCCCTATGTAGATCCCTCAGTTGCTCACTTGTGGTCATACAAAACCCTTTTTCATAGTTCTTCCAGTCTGATTACTTCAGCAATTGATACTGAAATTGTATGTGAGAGCAGTGGCAATTTATGAGTTTTGTCTAATTGAAAATGAGTAAGGTTCCTTAACATTTTAACTTTCCATGCACTTAAGTTCTTCATGCTAAGACCACTTGAAAATGACCTACCATGGACTGTCCTGAGGTTAAAGAACAACTTTAGAGTGCAAATCAAGCATGTATTTTACAGCTGACATCACCCTGCTCTTTCTGCCTGGACTGATGCCAACACATCAACACAGTTAACCACAGTAAAATGAAAATATAGGAGTTAACTATCTTTCAACAAAAATGCAGATTAAAACCCCAAAGACTATTCTGCAGTTTACACTGCAGATTTTCAGGGCCCAAAGCTTAGTAAAAAAAAAAAAAAAAAAAAAGAAAACCTGCTGGAAAATGAGTACAATCCTTTTAATATTCTCGACATCTTTAAAAATACTTCTCCCCCCACAACCCCCAAAAAATCCAAAGTATAAACCTCACCTCCCACTCTGATAAAATTAATGAGGCTGCCAGATACCGCTCTAATTGCAAGAACCCGAATCCATCCAAGACATGCCAAGATCTTCAGCTAAACTAACACTGTGCTTTTACTTTGCTACATTAAGAGGAAAGGCAGATGTCAAGAGCAGCACACTAACCTCTAGAGCTTCCTGAAGTTGTTGCTTTAGTTCTTCATTTGACACTTCAGTATTAGACTCTGTAGGATTGATAGGAGATACTAAACAATGAGATACTATAATAATTACAAAAGAAAATGTGAGAATTTGCTTTACCCTTAAAACGGGCAACATGCAGAGGTGAATTTTCATCTTTGTGTTTTTTTTATTCTGGAGCTAATAAACAGATTTAAGAAATACATAAATACTAAGCTCAAAACCATTGTTTCACAGTTAAAGAAGTGAAATGGGAAAAAAAAGGTCAGTTGTAAAGAGACCTAAAATAAGGACAATAATTTTAGAATTTCCTCTAAAAAAAAAGAAAGAAAATTGCCATCTTGATTGAAAAAATAATTTCATTTTTTAGATTCTTTTAAGATTGTACCTTTTAATAACCAAACTCAACACAACAGTAGCTATCACTATGTAGAAATAGGGGCAATTTTCAAGAGGTAAAGATGAAGTACAGTGGCGGGGTATCCCACAAGATCCAATATTCCTCTAAACAAGTGGTCACTACTGGTACCGTTTTTCCTAAAAATGAGCATCACAGAGCTATGTTAAAATGCAGCCTCCTACTAATCACAGTCAGGTTCAATGGACTTTAGTCATGCTTTCATGGATATTGCTGTGTGAAAGATCTAGATCTACGATAAGCATCATACAGAGACCAGCAGAAAGACAGTGAAACCAAAAGGAATTATGCTGCTCTCGCAACATCTTCACACTGAAGATGCTGAAACTGGTGAGGAATAATTACATGGCTTAGCTTACTGTGGCATGTGGAGAGGATAGTGGGGACTTGTCCTAAAGGAGAGAAACAAGCAAGTTAAGTGGAAATCCTTCACTCAAAATACTAAAACCAGCTAAAAATGTAAGGTAAAGCAGGTGAAGTGTAATGAGCAGCACTGCCTATATTTGATTTTATTTACAGCAGTATCGTCGTCACAAAAAAAGAGAATGCCAACCCTGAGAGAACAGAGATGTGCAGGTTCTAAAAACTTCGTAACCTCAAAAAAGGTGTGCCAATTCACAAATTTCAATGAAAGAGCAAAGAGGATTTTGAATATCTAGCCGTAAGTTTTAGATAAAATCTCTAGGAAGACACACTTAAACAAACCAGGAATCCAAACAATTACATCCAATTTCATATATGTATTTAGAGAAAAACAATTCTGTCCCCCACACAGGATGGCTCTTCGCTAAATGTCACTTTCAAATGCAAAAATAAACACTTTAAAAATGGTCATTGTACATGGAGAAGGGCCACAGCCTCACTCACACAGAAAAAAAATTTCTGCTGTTCATGTTTTGGGTGGAAGATGCAGGCACAGAGACTTCTCTGCTGCCTCCATGGCATTGAGCATCTCCTTTTGCAACACTAACAACGGACTTACAGGCTGCACCAACGAACCTGCCAGGCTGCGTTGGATCCCGGCAGGTGTGCAATGCACATGCACTTCCTGGAATCCTTCAGAGATTTCAAGGTGTTTTGGCAAACAGCTTGAATTAAACTTGATGACAGCTTGTGAAGCAGCTGAACTGCTCAGTTTTGCTGAAAAAGATTTTTCTCATAGTAAATAATTAACTTCTAGATTTTTCTCATAGTGAATAATTAACTTCTAAATTACTCTTACCACAGCTACTTTGTCGTGTGGAACTAGCAACAGGCTTTTTGGATGATCCGTCGTAAAAACTGTTTCGTTTTGAACCGGAAAGAGCTGCAGCATCACTTTCTTCCACTCTCTTTGCTGATATGAGGAAATTGCAAACTTTTCCAGATCCCTTCCTGGATCTACATGAATAGCAGTTTTGTAAATTTTCCCCTTCATAAACACCTCCAGGTCGTCTCCCAAGTCCGTTTCCCAAGTCTCCATGTGTCATGTCATCCTCTTCTGCTCCCTCCATCTTTTTCCTCCTGGTTTGTGTTGGGTTTTATTTTCGCTGATTGAGAGCGCTTCAGTTACTGGCAATGCCTCCCGCAACACAACAAGTATTTTATCTACAAAAAAA